TAATTTCGCTATAGACCATAACGCCACTATTTTTTATGTTTTTTTTAATTATTAACTAAATTAATTTTTTTCACATTTTAATTTATTTTATGAATTTCATATAAATTTATATTTATATATTTATCTTTTCTGTTTTTTCTTTATTTTATATTTTTTTTTCTTTTTATGTTTTTAAATTTTTAAGTAGGTGGCGCTATGGCCTATAGTGACATAATGTCGATATAGGCCATAGCGCCACTTTTACAAATTCATTTTTTTTTTTAAATTATTGACTTAATATTTTTTTAAAACTATTTTTTTTATATTAAAATTGTGGCGCTGTAGGCTATAGTGACTTCATTGAAGTCATTTTGTGTTGTTATAGGCTGTGACGACTTTATCAATATGGCTTTCATGGCTTCCCTAGAGTTACAAAAATGCCACATGTCATTGGTGTCGCTATGGCCCATAGCGACACCGTTGTAAACTGCCACAAAGGTGTAATTAGTTACAAAACAGCCCCATTTAGATAAAATATTTTTAAAAGTGCCCCACTATAGTCAATCACCCTATACAATCAACAATATAAGACAAACATGACTAACATATAGAAAGGTTGTTTCATAATAATTTTAAATGAACTCCATGCAATTAAATAGTTTGTAAAATGACCTCAATTTGGTCAATTAGCAAGTTTGTGTTTGGGAAGAGCTTGCATATTATTATATATCTTAAATAATACATATTTCATTTCTTTCTATCATATTTTCAAGGTTAAAGTGAGAGGGTGACTTTCCCAACTTGCAGTTTGGACAAAACCAGAAGTGAGAAGTTTGTCATGCTCCCTATGAACCTTATGAGTTCTTATTATTATAAGGGTTAGATGAGATTGTGACCAAACTATTCATGTGTCTGTGGATGCCATGGTTGAGCCCTAATAGTCAATGAGGATTTGATGCGTTCTCCAACATAAGGTTCCTCTATTTTTTATTATAAAAAACATATATTTTTATTTTTAAACATAAATAAATTTAACTACTTTTACATCATTTAATGATCTTTTATTGATATTTTATTTAAAATAAGTTATTTTTTTTAAAATAAAAGTAATAAAATTAAATGATGTAAATAATTTTTCTTAATTTGCACGAAATACGTTTTTTAATATTTTGAATCAGAGAAAGTACGTAAGAAGGTTTGTAAAACATTTACATAAACTAGAGTCCGAAAATTATTAGTATGCCACCAAACTACTAAATCATTTGAATTATAAGAGTGAGATAATATGTAAAAAAAAAATTATATTTTAATTTTATTATCATCACCGTAATTTCTACCATTAAACAAATACTAGTTATACTACTACATAAGATAAAACTAAAAAAAAATAGAAAACTTAGGTTAGGAAAAATAAGTAATTAAATACTCGGATTACTAGTGGAGAATGGAGTAAAAGCACAATATGACTTCAATATTGGCTGAGGCTAGCGTCATGCAAACCAATCAATCAATACACCTCTAATATATAACTACACATTTTATCGAAGATGCACATCAAGCATCAGCTAGTAGTCCAATACCAAAAAGAAAACAAAAATAGTTGTAATATTAAACTCTCGATGCTTTCCCATTGTTTCTGTTTGATCATCCACTACTAGAAAAGTGTCACTTTTCTGCAAATTTTCCTGCAAAAAAATATTCGTAGAAAGTTTTTGCGAAATTTCCTGCAAAAAAATATTCGCAGAAATTTTTTGCAAATTTTCTTGCAAAAAAATATTCGCAGAAATTTTTTGATAATTTTCCTACAAAAAATAATTTACAGATATTTCTTACAAATTTTGCTACAATTTTAATAATCATGGAAAAAAATTTCCATGGTAAAAATTTGCAGAAAATATTGTAAGAATTTTATTTTGTTTCTTGCAGATTTTCTTGCAAAAATAAATTTGCAAGTAATATTTACTAAATGGTAGAAAAAATTTGTAGGTAACTTTTCTTACGAATTTTCCTGCAAATTTTAATTCGCAGGAAAAATAAAAAAAATATTTAAATTCATAAGTTTAATATTTTAAAATATCTTCATGTCCCACATCGATTGAAAATAAAACAATTAAAGAGTATATAAGTTGGGGCAACACTTACCTTACAAGTTGAATTGTATGGTTGAGTATTAGGATTATAATCTACAATCTTAGAATTTAAAAGATTATGTATGAGGCATGAAAATAAAAGATGAATTCTTAAAATATATAATTTATAGTATTTTTTTAATTTTTTCGTAAAAAATATTCCTGTAGAACTTCTTGCAAAAAAATTCGCAGGAAAGTTTCCTGCGAATTTTTTTTGCAGGAAAATCTCCTGCGAATTTTCCAACGAATGAAGAAGCAACTAATATTACTAGTGTTCCGGTATGCCTAAAAGTCTCACATCACTTAGGAGTCGAGACTAAGAGTAGTTTATAAACATTCTCCCTCCTTAACCCACCGAGGCGCCTTTTAAAGGACAAAACCATGACGACCCAACGAGCGCCAAAGCAGATAATACCTTGGATGAATGTTACATATTTTAACATATAAAAAGTGTCACTATATGTATAATATATATAGGTATATATCTATTTAACATATAATTACACATAATTTAGTGTTTATTTTGAATAAAACCTATAATATATATAGATATATATCTATTTAACATATAATTACACATAATTTAGTGTTTATTTTGAATAAAACTTAATAATATATTTTGGGTATCACTATAACATATATTTACATATTTTAACAATATACCAACATATATTATATTTATTATATAAGTAAAAATAATTCTAAGTGATTATTTTTATGTCTCTATAAGATATGTGTTAGTATATGATAATTTTCTAGTAATATATTAAAAAAATTAATATAATATTTAATTTAATTTTTTTAAAATACAATACCTATTATAAAATAAAGAGAAAAGTAACATTATTAAACACACCTCATTATAGAAGTGAGGGAGGAGTAATTTACAAATTTACGTTATCAGGAGTAGTTTACAACTTTACATTATCAGGAATGGTCGTATAACAATTATATATATCTTGATAAGTTCACAAATCTTAGAGAACAATTACCACATAACAATAAATAAACCTCATTCATTAGCGATCTTGATTTAATTGATATATAGTCCTCCTGCTCATCTATTGAAAATTGAAACACCGATGTACCAAAAGAAAAAGTAAAAAAGACTAAATTCCATAAATAAATTGATCTCCCTCTCTTACTTTGTCTTTTGGTGCAACATATTTTTATTCAAATCTTGGAGAATGAAGCCCCTTCTTTGCTTTAACTTTTGTTTCATCTTATCTACGCTTAATATATAGTTCTTTGGCAGTTGAAGTGTATGCAGTTAATAGTGAAAATATGAGTCTCTGATGATAAATAACCGAGGCTGATAGGTCACAACCACACAACTGTATTTGCAAGAAGGATGGTCACAGTTGTTGTTCCTTCTGCTTATGTTATTTCGCTTTCGATGTGTTGTGTTAGCATTTTGCTTCATCTATCGTAAGACAGTGTTTGCAACCGAGCAACAAGGTCAAAACTTGTAACATAATGTTTGAGAATTTGGACCACTATAAAGTAGTTGTGTTCTAGTGCATGTCATTAATTAAGCACTGCAGGTTCCTGCGTGCCTCCTTCAAAAGCATTCCAGAAAGATTAAATATTATTACATGCTAGGTAGGTGGTTACAATCTTCAACAAAACAATTCTCTTACTTTCTTTTGGGTCACCACTCCGCTTGATCTTTGACCAGATTAAACCCAACATGATAAAAAGGAACCCAAAAAGATGGTGACAACAATTATATATATAATCCAACTTTTATATGTGGGGCTTCAACAATCTGTGGTTGGGTTCCCTTCATCGTGCAAATACAATAAACGAATCTAATAAAAATGAGTTTGGCTTTAGTAAAAGGGAAAAGTGAACAAATTTCGAGAGTAGGGCATGTTATCGATTATAGTAAAACTATGGCGAGGATTTTGGATTTACTAGTCTTATCAATTATAATTATAATTATATATATATATATATATATATATATTAGAGTTTTAATGACTATAAACCGTAAGTATAATCCCATTAATTAATTAAAAATTTGTATTATATATAATGTTTTTTATTTTAAGAAACTCGATTGGCAGGAAACAGTGAATCTCGCATAATTTGATTCAATTTTTTTTACTACTTTGTATGAAGGAAATATTTTATAAAGTGCTTCAATAATTGAAAAGTACTAAACAAATATGTTCCTTGAATCGAATCCATAGTCTGCTCTAACTAACGATTGGTGATGGGAAATTGGAAAAGGTATCAAGTGGTTTGAGGATTGAGGCCAAAAGGCACCGCACCAATGTTTGTTACAATTTCACCTAAGGCTCAACTAATACATATCATAACGAAGAAGACGTTTTCACTGCTCTTACAAACCAAAAAACTGCAACTAATGTAATTAATTCCAAGTGTTAAAAACCTTCACTGTAAAATCATCATATCAATACAGGAATTTAAACTAGTATCTTTGTGAGATCCTAGTTTAAATTCCTAGATTAATAACAGAGAATTAAAATGACTTAAATATATAACATAAAATAAAAAGTTACATAATAACAGAATTTAATTCTAGCCAGCTCTAATTAACTAGCTACATATATATAAGGTTGGTGAAACAGATTTATCAACATAACTGTAAAGAAACTAACAACAGCAGTATAGCTTAATTACCATAGGTTTGTCATAAAACGGAAGTTTTACTCCCATGCCCGACCTCGAAGCTTGGGAGTCTTTAGAGAAACAACATCCAATATTCTTCCATATTGAGAGGATAAGCAATACAAAGATCTCTTCAATTCTGCCACATCGGACAAAAAAATAGAAAACAACGTTAACAGCAAAAGTGCATATCCAATTACAACATCCAAGATGCAAATTCAGTGCAACCATAAAAGAAATGAAACTTCTTATATTGGCAAGTAACAATGAAGGGAGAGAAAATATACCTTAAACTTCATTGTGGTTAAGATTAAATTAAATGATCGACTTGGGGTCACCTGGGAAAAAAGGAAGAAAATGAAACAGAGAACTCATATATATATATATATACCTTAAATTAAGTATAAAGAACAAATACATATAGAGAAGTTTTTCCTTTTGTTGATCAAAAACAACTACATGTAGAGAAGCATAGTAGATACATACATAGGGGATCATTGTAGCAGGAACGTGAACATAAAGAATGCAAATCCTCTTTCCTTCGGAGTGTTGTATTGTAGCAGGAACGTGAACATAAAAAAAAACTCAACTTTCTCTCTCAACAATTGGTAACTATCTCTATAACCCCCATTATTTTCAACCTAGAAATTAATCATCAAAATCTCTCAAACCCACCAAAAATTCTTTCACTGGAACTCAAAAAACCAACAAAAATTGAAAATTTCTATGTTGCCTACAATTTGCAGATAGGATGCTGAATAAAACTTTATTAATGAATAGACGATACAAAACTAGTTGCCACCACTTAGTTATGTAATGCAGTTCCAAAGTGATGGTGAAAGGTGCTCACATTTAAGTCGTTGTACACAGGTTCGTCGTGTACAGAGTTATGTGGACACAATTGACAACCTCAAGGCAAGAAATTATGTTGCATTTAGCAATTCCTCTAACAATGCAGTACCTGTGATTTGGGATGCCTTTGATTTTGGCTTATGTGTTCCATCAATGATGAACCTAAATAATAATAATAACACCCGAAATTAAAACAAATGATTTAGAGCTTCCTCTTTGAGACTACAGAAGCACAAAAATTAAAAAGATAAAAAGATAAGTGTGTTCTAGAGAAACAAAATTGTGATGAATTAAATGAAACTATGAAAGGGACTTTGGAGATAACACGTGGATATTGTTGCCATCCCATCGTCGCTTCACGCGGAAAACAAAATACTGTTTTGAACAATCTGTTGGTGTGTTTGCTTCCTCTTTTACTTGCCTTTTCTATAAAAAAAATATTTTTGTTAGTTGCGGGTGATGAACTACACATGTAGAGAACACAATAAAAGATAATAATAGGAACGGTGAAACCTTTCAGAGGTTCCAAGTATCTCACTATGACTTCCAATCCTATCAGTTTCATCCCGGAAGTCCTGTTGGTCAACTGATATCACCAAGATCTGCCATCTCAGCTTCCAGCACCTCATCGTAAAAGCTCAGCTAGTTTATCGAACCAGCTCAGAAACTAGTGCGGCTATATATCTTATCTATAACTTAAGCATTGACGAGTAATAATCGTAAAAGCTACAATGACCAAGGTTTTAATTAAACAAAATCCCCACAATCGTTTATCAATAAATCGAGTTATGCATCCGCAAAAATAGAGAGACAACAAAGAAGATACAAAATTACCTTGTAACCAAACACCAAATCCATTTTCATTGATCACAAAGTGTTCCAGAATCCTTGAGAAGAGAGAAAAAAGGAAAATCGAACAATCTGATTTAAGTCATAATTATAACTACGAAAAAGAAAATCATGATTAAAGCATAAAAGTAAAAGATTGAGGGATTATAAGTTGTGAGAACCCTAGACTGAGATTTTCGCGTGGAAAAGGGGTTGTAGTTAGTAGGGGCGAACGCTGAAGGAAGAGAGAGATGATCGAAGAAAAAGTGATCCAAAAATGCGAAGAAGAGCTTTGTTTCCGATTTGGAGCGCTTCAAAAGTCACAGAAGTGCGAGAAAGAGAGAGAGTTTTGAATTTAAGTTCTTAACTTTTAATTTTATTCTTTTAACAATAAAAAAATATTTTAATTAAATTGGTTACGTGGTGACATAAAGAGGTGGCAGAGCAATATATAGTTATTTAAACATTGTGGCGGTCTTAAACCGCTAAAAATTTAATTTTTTGTGGCAGTTATAATAACCGCTAGAACTACAACCGTTTTTAGCGGTTTATTGAAACCGCCAGAAAATAACCGCTATTAATTACATAATTTTTTGTAGTGAATGGCTTAATAGTTAACAAAGTTCTCCTCCAAAGGATATATCAAAGAAGCTAAGCTTTTAAAAGGCCGATTCCCTGCAAAGAGAAAAAAAAAAAGTAACATACCACAAAACAAGAAACTTCAATTTATTAGCTTCCAATCAGTTTTTCCCTAATAAATTGTTGCATTAAAATTGAAATATTAGAAATTTAAAGGTTAATTAGTTTCACTAAACCTCTCTTTGGCAAATGTATTCATAACTCTTTCCTCCAAATGAGAAGGAGGAATATCCAATTTGGTGAAACAAGAAATGACAAAGATGAACTTGGTGTAACAACAACGTCGTCTGTCACCATGAACAATAATGGCCTCCTTAAGAATCCTCTACCACCATTTTGCGATATGCTTTTCCATTTGATGATTGTGGCTCCAAATAGCTCAAACATACACAACCCTATCCTTCCTTTCGTCGACCAAAACTATCACATAAATTTTTTCCTCGGTTGCATGGCATAATAAAATAATTACATGCACTAGGCACCAATATTTTCCCTTTTACGAATTTTAATGCCTTTTACTTTTAGTTTAATTTTTAATTTTAATACAAAATTGTTTATTTCACTACTACAAAATGGCTTTTCCACATCGTTAATTCTACATCGGTTTATGTAGAAACGATGTAAAAAACGAAGGCAGTGATAGCAAAACTAGGAGAAGTGAAGTAGGTTCCTCTCCACGGATTTGCTTAGGCCGGATCTTCTTCAAAGGAGACTTGAATCTTCAACTCAAGAACTCTTGAATGCTATGAAAGTCACGGATGAACTCAACCAAGGAATAGGAGGGAAGCATCCAAGCTCAAGCATCAATGGATTCCCACCTCAAAGAGAAGGAAGGTTTAGAACTCTCCTAGGGTTTTGAAGTCAAAAACTAGAAGACTTTGAATGGTGAAACTCGGCCAATGGCTCTCAAATTTCTGAATACTCAAAGTGGTCTTTACAAGGTGTGAAGGAGGTATTTATTGGATCCGGAAACAAGCACTTGGCGCCTAATGTGAGAGCCTCACAAGTGGCGCCAAGTTTTGAATTCAAATTTCAAAAATTTGAATTCAAAACTTAGCTCTCTTGTAATGACCGGTCACACTTAGAGCTAGGTGCATTTGGCTTTGATTTAGGATGCATTTAGGGTTAATTTAGAGTCACACATGTTCAGCCAAGGTGGCGTTAAACATGTGACTCTAAATGTAACTTAAATGCATCTTAAATTAAACCTAGTTTAACCTAATCCAATTAAACTACACATCCTTCCTAAACCCTAATCTAATGACCTAAATACAATGGTCAAGAAAATACAATGAATAGGAAAAATTACAAGAAGAAGAATGAGCCTAATATTGGGTATCAAAAGCCCAAAGCCCATGAAGCCCAAAAATAAGCCCAAAAGCCTACACCCTAAACTATGGTCAAAATACAAGACCGAAATCAATTGAAATTCCTATACTAAGAAATATACAATATAATATGGTGTTCAATCAATAAAAGCCCAAGTGAGAAGCACCCTAGACCCACCAAGCCCATTGGGCCCACTAAGCTCTGAAGCAGTCAAATCTTCAAGTAACCTCCTGACCATAGCTCCAGTGGTTGGGCCTTTAGCCCATGCTCTTCCATCAGGCAGTGGCATAATTGTAAATAAAAGCACAATGTAAAGGATATCTACATCGGTTACGAAGGAGACCGATGTAGATGATGAGAGTTTTACATCGTTTAGGGTGGGACCGATGTCGTTTTGAATGCGCGGTGGCATTTTTGTGATTAATTAGAAAAATATCTACATCGATTCTCTCAGGAACCGATGTACTATTGAGGCCCATATACGCTTTCGCGCCCCTTCTCCATGAGAATAACACTAAGCATCTTCTTGAACACCAAAACTGCGCACGCCCCGCCATTTTCGTATAAGCTTAAGCCCTATCTTGTTCCGTTTGTTTGGTGACCAGCGCTAGCCGTTTCCCCCCGAAGAAGCATCATCGTCTTCTGGAAAAGCTTCAGCGCCATTGTTGAAACTGTGCACGCAAGGAACCCTAAATCGTTTAAGGTTTGGGTGAGTCTCATCTGCTCTGTTCCCCTATTTTCAATTAATTTTGGGTTTATTGATGTAAACCCTAGTAGGATTCTTGCTCGTTACAGAATGCAGTTACTGTGACTTCAATGCCCTTAATCTATTCATCACTTGTCCCTCTATTCTGATTGTTCCTGCACTGTAGATGTGAAGCCATTGGTGCCATATTGTCCTGCACTGTAGATGTGAAGCCATTGGTGCCATATTGTCAGCAACGAACTCAATTTGTACATTGCAGGTATATTCTAACCTTGGTGCATATACAAATATGTATTTCAAAATTAATATATTATCATTTATTGCCTTCCTTGTCCTTTTTGTGGTGAAGGTTCTGAATCGATACTATTACAGCCTTGAAATTGTTGGGGACTTTCCTTTACCTCTTCTGCACTAGTACTGGCCTTGGCATACTAGTAAGTTTAACTTGCTCAATTTTGCATGTGCTTCTTTGAAAGACTTTTTAGACCAGACTTCAGGGAGGAAAAATTGAACCATAGTGAGAAATCCTTTATTTTGGTAGAATAATATACTTCTTCAATGCTATCAAATTTGCAAGCTTGGATAAACTAGGATAACTTTAATATGTTAATAATTAACTAAGAACAAAGTTACGAAAATGGTGTGATTGTTCAAGAAAATTCTGGCAACTTGAATTATATAAACAAGGTTAAGACATTGCATAGATCGTTCTAGTTTACTAATCTCTCAAATATGGTTCTTTTAATTCTAAAATCTTGAATTTCCAATTGAGACTTTACCAGATTTCAGTGTTGAAACTGTTAAGTGTTGCTAAGCGTTACGATTTCTTTGAGGTTTTGGATAATATACAGAATTTTTATAATAAAAAAAAAAACACCAATGTGTTAGTCCATGTAGCATCTCCAATAGTGCATTTAAAGTGAAGGTTCTCAACTCACTTTTGATAGGTTTTATCATTCTATATCAGATTTAAGAACTTTAACAACTTTTTTCTTCAATGATACAATGATCTAAGAAATTGAAATAAGTCTCAGTGTCTCACATATTATTTCACAATGTTTTTGAATCCTAAGAACTGGTTACTTGTATTACAACCAGTTCCTGTGATGGGAAGGGAAGTCATGTCAGCCTCCTCAATAATAAGCCTGAATGAGAACCAGTTCTTAAACTTAAGAACCTCGCAAGAATTGGTGTATGGATCTATTTAAAAAGTTATTGAAACTATAGAGATTTATAGAATAATATAATAGAGTTAAAAATATGACTTGTATGCCTTGTGGACGTTGTGCGATTCGCCTGACTTAGTGCCTTTCATTTACAGGCATTCTACTGATCGTGAAGTTGCACTTATGATGTTGATGGCATATTTGTCATATATCATTGCTGAGGTACAGAACCACCATCTACAAAATGAATTGTAGTTGAATCTTATTATTAATTAAGATGCCCTTTTGATTTCCATGTTTATTGTCAATTGATGTAATCATAGCATTTTTTGCAAAAATTCTGAACGTTGTTGCTGCAAAACTTTCAGGCCAGAATTTGAACTACCAAGAAATTAACCAACTGAAGCAAGCCGCTGGAAGTAGGAAGATTAAAAAAGGTACAGGCTCTGAAGGTGGTTTGCCAAAAATTGAAACCATTAAGTCATTTATTTTCCATAACTACACATATATTAAACTTGATGGTGGTCCTAAAAATATGATTTCTGTTATTGATTGCAATAGCGTTGATATTTCAACATTAATGTATCTAGAATAGGCCAAGTCTTTTTTGTTTAAATATGGTTCACTGGAATTGGCTCTAGGAGTGATGACGTGCATGTCAAAATGCTGGCGAATCATCCTAAAGTCATATACAACCTTCATGGCATCCATTTTTATGCGAAGCTTCAGCATTTAAAGTAATCATATGATTTATGAATTATGCCCTTGATTTAGAACCTAACCGGGTTGTCAACGATTTGAATTATGGTTTAAAAAACTCACATCATTTTCTCTTGCCATCAAAATTGTCTGTTCACTGTTCAGCCACCATAAACCGCAACATCATTAGCATGTTTTTCCTCTTATGATCTAAATATGGTTCTGAATTACATTTTTTTTATACAACTACAACAATAAGATTTAAATCTAAAATTTTTGTACATATTACCTAAATTCTTCTACACTGGTGGATATTCTGAATTATAGTAAACATACAACATTTTCCTTACAACACTTTTGATCACATTATTTTTACCTGTCGTTATTCATTAAATCACTAGTTTTATTACACATTTTTCTCTTTTCTTTTTGTCTAAACTTTGTACAATCAAGAAATAATATTTTCTCTTTTTGGATCACAAGATAGCCATCATCTTCTGTGTACAAAGTATAGGTGGTACATGCATGCATGATGTGTGAGTGTGAGTTCACAATATGCCACTCCAACAAAAAATCCATTGATCTTTTTTTTTTCCTTTTTAGCATAAACATGGTGCAGAGAGACAATAAAGAAAAGAAATAGAACTATTTGGGCACCCTTGGACAAAAGCATGCCTATTACATGAGGAGGGAATAGTGAGTGTTGGCGTGGAAGGAAAAGGACAAATTAGAAGGAGGGCAATAAGGTAATTTGATGTGCAGACATGAAAATTTGGAAGGAAAACAGTAAGAGGCAATAATGAAATAAAACTGAGTGAGATTTTTGCCTGCACATTGTTTAGTAGTCGATCTAGTGGAGCTCCCTTTGATTTTGGTTTCTCTGAAAAAGGAAACTTCGGATTAGACCCTTCAGCATAATCAGACTTGACATGATGAAGATGCAGTGAAGCAATTTAAGAAGACTGACATCAAATTCAAAGCCATGTTATGGTAAGTGTTCTAAATTTTCTTGGTGGGTTTCAGCTATAAAGTATGTTTAGGTATTGTAGAAGTTCTTCTTTTAAGGAATTGAAGCAAGCCAAGTGACAATTCTGTTTATGTGTGTGTTGAGTCGAAAGTCAGGGAAATTGAAAGACGTGCTTATGAAGCTAATCGAAAGATGGAGGAGAATGAACACCTATCTGGAACGTATTAGGAGTTTTATGTATTCGTGCTAGAAATATAGTCGAAAACATTTTGAAGCATATATAAAACTTCTCGAAAAATATTGAGATCAACTCCTGCCAATAACAGCGAATTCGAGATCGAAGACAATTATTTCGAGTTGAACAATGTTCGAGATTTGGTGAAGTTGTGTAGGTGTTTATGATCATACAATGACAGTTAACATCCAAGTCGAGAAGTTAGTATACGCGAAGAACGGTTATGAGAAGTTACACTTTAGAAGCCACATAATGAGCATAATGGGTAGCAGTTATCTCATAGTGGCCTACGTGCACGAACGTTTGAGTGAGTTAACCGTCATTGATTCACTCTATAAAATCAAGAAGCCTGCATTGTCACAAGGTCGGAAAACTTCATACTAAAACTACACTCTGAAGCACTCTCTGCCTGCGCTATGGCTTTCGTGCGTGGAATCGTGTTTGGGTATGGTTGCTTCTTGACCATTCTTCTTTTTTCTTTTCTAGATTAGGATTAGTTTAGTTTAGTGTTCCTTATAATCACTTCATTTTCATTCACGTACATTTCTGATGATGTTGTAATGCTTGAAAAGTATGAACCATGATTTGTCTAGGAATTATATCTGTTGTTCATTCTGTTTATTTAAGCATCTACGTGCATGAACACTGTTTCTTAATAATCGTTGATGAATATCTGGAAAGCGGAAATTATTAAATTGTCTTCTAATATCTGGAAAGTAGAGATTATTAAATTGTCTTCTTACACTCTCGGACCTTAAATTACATACCTAAATTGAAACCGTTGTAGTGCTAGTTCGAATAAAAAGGATCCATAAAACGAAATCCACCGTAAACAG